CGATAGTGTTGTTTACTTTGTTTTATTTTTATCTGTAACACCGTTGAAACAGTTAGAGAAGTTAATATCACCTTATTAGGCTGGGTATCATGGATAACCCGATGTCGAATTACGACCTTGTTTAGCGGACCAACTGCTAGGCCTACAAGTAAGGGAATAAAAGCTACGAGGATAAATTTCTCGGCCTAATTAACAAATGTTTTATTCCCAATACTCATAACTTAATATTAATGATGTCACTAAGATCGGGAACTGTCTGCAAAAATGAGTTTTCGTTTTGTTTTCGAGTCAGTTAACCCTAAAGTAGTCTTAATATTAATATAATTATATATCATCAAACGTAAAACCAACTGTAAAACTTAAAGTGACTTTAGGGCGGGAGTGGCCTAGCGGTTAGCATGCCCAGACTGAGAAACCGAATGTTGTGCATCATGTTGCTGCAAAAATGCGCTCCGCATTTGGGAGCCATGGGTGCGTTATAAAAGTGACGGTCAATCCCACTGTCCGTTGGTAAAAGAGTAGCCTAAGAGTTGGCGGTGGGTGGTGATGACTAGCTATTTTTTTTCTCTTGTCTATCAGTTCTTTGTGTAACTTTGCGCGAAAACAAAGATTCAGCTTTAGCTAACTACAATGTTAAAGAGTTTTAGACGAGGAAGGTAGTTACTAATTACACTGTGAATAGGCTTAACGAAAACATAGGCACACTTAACAGATTACAAAATAGTTACAATTTTTGTGATTCCTCTAACCGAAACAGCATGAAAACGAAACCTTTAGGTGCTCATTATCCTTCACCTTGCCAGACAAATTATTTGTCAACAAATGTCCATCTAGTTTACACACATCACCAAAACTAAAGCCTAAACTTCTAACAACAACAAAAAAGTTTAAATTTCAAACCGGGACACTACCAGCTGTCATTGTTCACAGCCTGCGAAGACGTTCTTGGAGAATGTAAGTGAATCGTGTGCCATATCTCATATTTTTCACATTTTATTAGTTGTAGCGCCACCTAGATAATATTTCTACTTAAATTTTATCTAAATTATTGATTAATAATACTCAAACATTTTCAGTGTTATTATTAAACAAAAAGTACTTAAAACCACTACTTCTAATAACACTAGTTCATCGCTTCTAAATTCCGAGAGCCCGTGATCGTAGAATTGCATTCAGTTTGTTTTTTTTTAGCTGTGAGTGCATTATAAGAGCGGCAGTCAAATTCCCCTTTTGGAGTAAAGTTGTCCAAGAGTTGGTGGTGAGAGAACTAGCTGCCGTCTTCTCTCTCTTAGTCTATCATTTCACAATGAGGGACGACTAGCTTAGCATGAATATCCGAAATCCAGATGAGCACACACACAGAGAAGTAACTTACCGAACTTCCTTTACATTAAACATTGTATTACAGGTTTTTAGGACTCTTCTTTGATACTTAAGTTGTTATACAATTGATATTTTAACAGTTTTTAACATCAGTATTTTAGGTCACTTCAATGAACGCAACATTCGCTATAATTTTCTTAATCATCAGTACTTTCTTCATCTAATCACAAATATCTCAAACTAACTTTATCGCCATTACGAACATGATCTGCTGATTGATTGTTGTAGTGTTAGTTGATAACACTGGAAGGCAATAGCGTTAGTTTCGTATCACTTAGCGTTAGTTTCGTATCACTAGGTTTTAAAGATGTTTCACTGGAATTTCGTAGCGTTAGTTTAGTACATTTGAGAGTTAAGTATATGAAGATTCTTTGCAATATCGTAGCATTAGTTTCGAATTACTTTGATTGTGTTTTATAGATTTTGCTGAAACGTTTTAGTGTTAGTTTCGGCTGATTTGACTTTTCACTGAAATAACCCAAAGCTAGTTTCGAATCTTTTATAATTCCAAACCCTTAGCTCTAGTTTCGAATCAGTGTTTGTATAAACAGGGACTCTTCTCTGTTTTGATGATCAACTCGAAATTTTAAAAAAATAAACAAAAGGGTGTATTTTAATTCTAAACCATATTGGTTTTACATTTCCCTAAAAAATTCCCTATCAGTTTGTTTTTGTTTGTTTTTGAATTTCGCGCAAAGCTACACGAGGGCTATCTGCGCTAGCCGTTCCTAATTTAGCAGTGTAAGACTAGAGGGAAGGCAGCTAGTCATCACCACCCACCGCCAACTCTTGGGCTACTCTTTTACCAGCGAATAGTGGGATTAACCGTCACATTATAACGCCCCCACGGCTGAAAGGGCGAGCATGTTTGGTGGGACGGGGATTCGAACCCATGACCCTCAGATTGCGAGTCGAGCGTCTTATCCACCTGGCCATGCCGGGCCTTCCCTATCAGAAACGCCATTTAAAGTTAAAAACAAAGCATACATTTTTAATTTTTCCTAATTTTATTTTTGGTATCCCCCGATGGGACAGCGCCAAGACTAAAGATTTACAATGCTAAAATCCGGGGTTCGATTCTCCGCGGTGGATACAGCAGATAATTAACTCCATGTGGTTATGCTCTAAAAGACAAATCTTTTTCTGGTGAATAATTGCTTTTGTGGTCCTGGCTCTTGGAAACAATCGCGCCACACATAGGATTTAGCATATCTTTTATAATCCGTTTTCTTTTTTTTTTATTTTCACGAAAGTTATTTCAGGACTACCGTGTGGTTGACCCTCGTGTAATTATGATAAAAATGTAAAACATTTCCAAGATATGTCGTGCTGTAAAAGGTAATTGTAATGATTTCCCTAGATATAATTTAACCCCCATTAATCGAGTTGATTCTGTATGAGCACGTAAAGAATCTTTTGTAAACAGCGCGTACATAACAATGATGAACACATGTGACAACAACGCCGCGAAATGGTAACAAAGTGAATGTTCAGCATAAGAAACGTATTAAGCTGGGCAATAGTGGAACAATACGTCACAACCTCACATAGCATGCTGTCACATCACGCAATAAAGACCTCTGTTGGCCTATTACACAAGAGGAATTAAAAAACTGACATGAACTAGTGTCGTGAACACAACACGAAGCATGCTTACAATTCAATATATAATTATTAATATTATGTGACAGGATACTAGAATTTATCTGTTATTATAAAAAATACTATGTTTCAAAATTTAAAAACAAGAGGGAATCCTCAATAGCCGCGGCACTTGAAATTCTTTTAAGCAGGATTAGAGTAAATTAATCTATGCGACCTTTTTTCCTTTTTATTAGCTATATTTTTTTGTGCGCAAGCATTACCAAGCGTGGAGCGCATGTATACTCGATTCAATTTTAATACTCATCACGATCTCTACCAGCCTACCCTCATATTAAAATTATTTTAGGCAGGATTAGAATAAATTAATCTATGAGACATTGGGCGTGGTCAAATACA